CCCACAAAAAATAACAAAGTAAAATATGGCCAGCCCACTGCCACTTCAGCTTACTAATCCGGTGGGCTATGTCGATGACTCTGGTTCTCTGTCGGATTACCTCATTTCTGATGCGATCCTTCAGAGAAACGCCGAGCATAGCCCTTTCCTTTCCATAGCGTGCTGAGCGACTTTGAACTTGTGGACCAGCCGTACCGTTCAGTGTCCACGTCTCGGCTCCGTATGTCATTTTGTCATTATAGCTCTTATGACCACGATTTGAAAGGTTTCACGATCAAGAGGTCTAGCTGTACCCCTAGCACGAACCATTATCGAATTCGAATAGTTTGCAAACCGAAATGTCAATGTCAAATTTTGTATGGAAACTTGAACAGCAGCGGCACAAAGTACGTAACGAGAACTAAAAATCGGTACACATTTGACAATGACATTACGGACTCGCAAACGATACGAATTCGATATTGGTTCGTGCTAGAGGTACTGAAAGCCTCGTCCAACTCTCAGATGGACTGTATAGCAGAAAGTCTATTTAGCCAAACTTCATATTTAGGTTTTTATTTTTTAAGCACTTAACTGCTAGATGTTTAAATCTAAAGAAAAGTTTACTAGAAGAAAATCCACGCGGACCAGGCAGCAGACGGGACTCGAACCCGCACCCTTCGCTATCCGGGCGAATGCACTGACCATTATGCTACCGCGGCCCTGATGGCTTATACGACTATTATTCGATTTAAGGATCCATTTACGAAATATTCAACTTTAAACTTTGAATTTTTGTTCCAGTAGGAACATCCAAAGCAAAACTATTAGCTTTAAAAAACAGTAAAAAATCAAATTATTAGTGCTCTTCATGAACTTTTAAGGAAAATTACACCGTTATATTTTTGATTTTTAAAGCATTTAACTGCTAGATATTTAAATCTAAGATAAAGGACAATGGGCAAAACGCACCCAGTTCCGCCAACAATGTAATTATTATGAATCGATAGATCTATGAAAAACTAGCCTTTTTTATTATGACACCGTATAAAAATATCCTGGGAGTCAAAAGATATGGCAAATGGGCATATTGAATATGCCCATGTAAAGTGAATTCACTTAAAATTTAAGTAGCTAAATAAATTCACTTTATAGTGCCTTCATTTTATATTATTAGTAACCATAATAATATTCCATATCGTACAATACAACCAGATATAGATGACAAAGCCTGCCGACCATCCTGCGCTTGCACTTACTGAACCATCTCAAAACGGTTTACGGGGGTTGAAGGACTTGCAGTTGCAAATTGTCGACTCGTCTTACTTCGTTGTGATTGTGCGCTCCCGGTCACTTGATTGATTTTATCTAACACGCTTTGGACATTGGAACACGATTATCGGTTTTGTCAATTAGTATGGATGAACTGAAATCACGTTTTCTTCGAAGAGTGGACAAGTTTGTGTGGTTTGTGGTCGTTCCGTTTTATATAGAAGAGAATTTACTATTACGACCAGACTGTTTGAAAAACCCCAACCCATGCGGGGATTTTTGGATTTACTCTAACGCGGCAGAATAACACAAGGGGGCACCCTTGCACCTTGTGGAGTACCTACTCCCATAATAACTGAGCCCTCAATGTAGTCGAACTTACTAAATTTATTCCCTGATTTTATTAATGTTCGTTCGTTATAGGTATGTATTAACTTGTACTTATTTAACCAAAAATAACTAAAGACCCCCGGGATGGAATTTGATGCGCTTTGTCACATATGATCTTGACTATAATACCTTTCAAACAAATGTAGTTTAAGCCGTGGCGGACGTGGGTGCAGCGTCCATATATTTTTGCCCAATGTCCTTTTACTAGAAAAAAAATCCACGCGGTCCAGGCAGCAGACGGGACTCGAACCCGCACCCTTCGCTATCCGGGCGAATGCACTGACCATTATGCTACCGCGGCCCTTTTTCTCTAGCATTTCTTGCACGGCAGCGCCATCTCCTCGCATTGTAGGTAACCTACAATCGAGTCCCGTCTGCTGCCTAGACCGCATGGTTTTTTTAGTAAAATTTTCTTTAAAATTATTCCGGTTAAAATAAATCAGTTTATTATTACAGCCATTCAATTTATGCACTACAAAATTCCTTAGCTAAAAAAATCCGTAGAACACATTATAAGACATTTAGTCGTATCGATTGCTTGTTTATGACGTGTTAAACCTTAGAAAAAAACCTTTGAAAACCACAATAAAATATCTACGGAACCCTACACTGCGCGTGTCACTTATTGTTTGTTTTAAAATGTTTGGTTTTTATTCTAGAATCGGCCGAGTGCTAAAAAAGTGTTCCGAGTTTTTTTTGCAAACCGTACTTTTCAAGCGACATTTGACAGATGGAGGTCATTGGCTTTCCTATTCTTAATTGAATCGCATTATAACCGAAGGAACACATCACCGTCCGAGAAGGTAGTGTTATTTCAATTAGGTTGTTAAACTAATATTGTAAAGCTGAAGAGTTTGGTTGAACGCGGTAATCTCAGAAACTACTGGTGTGGGCGAAGAAGGCATACATAACTAATAAGCGACCTCCGTGGCCGAGTGGTATATATCTACGCCGTGTTTCATGGCGACGACTACTCAGAGGGTTCGAACCCCGAAAACTGAAAATTCTGTGTAGATCGTTTTATTAAACTTTTTGAAATCAAACCTTACTTAGAAACTTAAAAACTATCTGTTTCCAAATTTCACCGAAATCTGTTCCCCGTTGTTACCTGATAGACGGAGACACATTTAAAAGTTCATAAAGCAAGATAGTATTAATTTTATTATCAGTTGATATCAAAAAATAATTCAAAAGGAAATCTTTTAGCTTTCTTTATAAACGCGCACCTACTGTCAGTGTCAACAGGACATTAAAATGTTACTAGTGCACTTGTCAGTATTCACTACTACAGTTGCATTTAATATTTATTTTTTCAAATTGAAGACTGTTTGTAATTTCTTTAATAATTATAATAAGTAAGGTACTACGGTGTCGCTAATGTTAAATGGTCTTGTTATCTTCCTAAAAAGGGTATTTAAATATACTGACAGAATATAGAACTGCGTTTGGTTAAATATTTATGTAAATACACAACATTAAAACTTGTACACTTGTTGCTGCGCATAGAGCAAATTGAAAGAAATTGGTTATAGTATATCACATATTAAAATGATTTAATTTATCAATTGTATAAAATAATCAGAATTATCAGCAGTATCCTGTTATGGAATTGACTAAAGATAAAATTACTAAATTGTGAAATTTGTTTTGTTTTTTCCAAAGAAATAAATAGCAGGTCTATTTATTTCTTTGGCTGATTAATAATGGTCTCCTGTGCTGACCATCCCTCCTGTCATGTCCTGACGAGTCGTGGTGTGTCATGAGGCATCAGTTTCATAGATTTATTATGCGTTAGAAAGAGAGTGAGAGGTTAGAGATTCGACACCATACGACATGTAAATATGTCTCTAATTAAGTAAATGTATGATACCGATGTGTTCCGCGATACGACACGACACGTTAATATTTTTCTGGCTTAACACTTGACTGTCAAATATAGATTTTATGGTTGAGTACGAATAATTTATTACCTAATTTATTAATATAATGAAGTAATACTTCGCATCGTAATCGTCACTCTTACTACCAACTGAAATTATCTAAATTGTTTTATTTTAACATTGCCTAAAATGCCAACTATTAAAATGGTTACAAACAATGTTATTTTAATGGTAAACTAAAGTCGAGTTTACTACGTAAGAAAAATGTTTTAAGAATCATTTCATATTTGCACAGTTGTTACGTAAATCGTACTATTTAATTTGAGGTTGCTGACATTGCAACACCGCTAGTGCTGTGAAATATTATAAGCGGATACCCGTAACTGGTATCATAATACCCCTATGCCTCTTTCTTTAGTGAAACCACAGGCAAGTAAACTTACACGTAGACGTTTTTTTTTTGTATAAGAGCTATTCATTTATTACGTAAGGTGATTTAAGTGGAGGGGGTTGACCCTGTCTTATTTTTTTTACAAGGGGGTGGGAGGGTGTCTTAATAATCCTTCTTACGGAAGGTCACAAAAATGCTCAAAGTAAAGATCAAACTTTGAAGAAGTAGTTTATTACTACCAAAATAATAAAAATTACTAGCACTTTTGTAGGGTAAATATTGCTTAAGATTGGTACTTAGATAATAAACATTAGTATATGTCAAACGTGTAGGTATTCATTTATTCCAAAATTCTTACGTAATAAATATGAAATATGCTGTTGGAATGTTCTTATTCTTTCTTACGTAGGGGGGCTTCTTACGGAGCGAAATGGTCTCATGTTATAAATGCATGGACCCATGAATGTGTTTAGGTAACCGTTTTTAATACCATTATCTTATATTTACTTTAAAACAATAATTTTATCTCAGTGTATATAAATGCTGTTTGATACTCCCAGACCGATTGCTTATTTTCGAATGATAATATAATAAAATTAAAGGTATGCAAAGCACAGTTTTCCTCAACATATCATTTAGCTACATAGATTTAAGATAATTAAATAAGATTTATTACTGTAAGGAAAAATAACTGTATTAAGATTTTTTCTCAATATTTGCCAGCCCATTAAAATCTGATACCTATTTATTTATTATACCGCACTTAACTTGGTTATTTGTCATTTTGACAACAAGTCGTCCTTGTCATGCTCTATAGGGAATGAAAAGGAAAGACTGTTGTCAAGTTTACAAATAGCAAATAAAAATCTTTGTAGGTACTTAACTAGGTAAGTAGGTTGGCACTTGGCATCATGTAGAAATAGGGAGGCGTGATATTTTCTGTTGAGTGGAGAGAGCAAAGAAAGAGATTGCCGCATACTAACGCAGGTCAGTATGCAATACCGGTACCATAATAGTATATTACCGGTATCCCCTCTGACACCGCACAGCGCATCACTAATTATTTTAAAATGTCATTGACTCTTCACCTCGGTGCGCTGCATCGCATGGCGATTGGCTGTGGAAATGCTGGGAAGCTCCGTTAAATTAAACATTACGCTCAGTCGTCGGCAGATGCAGACAGCCAGTTAATTAAACCAAATCGTCGGTGCCGCGCTCACGTAGACACGCCGGTTAAAATTACCTTTTCTTGTGTAAAAAATCAGCAAAATGGTCATTGAAAAAATTTGCTGCCTGGGTGCGGGCTATGTTGGAGGCCCAACTTGCAGTGTGATCGCTCTAAAGTGCCCCCATATCAGAGTGACAGTGTGTGATAAAAGTGCTGAACGTATAGGCCAGTGGAATTCGGACAAACTGCCTATATACGAGCCAGGATTGGACGATGTAGTGCAGCAGTGTAGAGGCAAAAATCTATTCTTTTCTACGGACATTGCTAAAGGGATTCGGGAAGCGGACTTGATCTTCATATCTGTGAACACGCCCACCAAAACCTTTGGCAATGGCAAAGGTAGGGCCGCAGACTTGAAATACATCGAAGGCGCTGCGAGAATGATCGCGGATTTGGCGACCAGCAACAAAATAGTGGTCGAGAAAAGCACTGTACCAGTGAAAGCCGCCGAAATTATCATGAAAATACTCAGGGCGAACACGAAACCTGGTGTCGAGTATCAGATACTGTCCAACCCAGAGTTTTTAGCTGAAGGCACTGCAATAGTTGATCTGGTTGAAGCAGAAAGAGTTTTAATTGGTGGTGAAGACACTCCTGAGGGTCAGAAAGCTATTCAAGAGCTCTGCTGGGTGTATGAACACTGGATACCATCGAAGAATATAATCACAACAAACACTTGGAGTTCTGAGCTGTCAAAACTTGCTGCGAATGCTTTCTTAGCCCAAAGAATATCAAGCATCAACTCCTTGTCAGCTGTGTGTGAGGCCACTGGTGCTGATGTGTCAGAAGTGGCTCGTGCTATCGGCCGTGATTCTCGTATCGGACCTAAGTTCCTGGAGGCATCTATTGGGTTTGGAGGCAGCTGTTTCCAGAAAGACATTCTTAATCTTATATACCTGTGTGAGTGCTTAAACCTGCCAGAAGTGGCTGCATATTGGCAGCAAGTTGTTGACTTAAATGATTACCAGAAAACCCGTTTCACTAGGAAAGTCATTGAATCACTATTTAACACTGTAACAGATAAGAATATAGCCATACTAGGGTTTTCTTTCAAGAAAAACACCGGTGATACCAGAGAGTCTCCAGCTCTTTATGTTTCAACAACTTTGCTTGACGAAGGAGCAAAACTTCACATATACGACCCGAAAGTTGAAGATGAACAGATCATGTATGATTTGACACATCCGTCTGTCTGCTCAGAACCGGAAGTGGTCAGAAAGAATGTACATATTCACAGATCTGCATACTCCGCAGTGACTGGTGCACATGCAATAGTTTTGTGTACCGAATGGGATGAATTCAAGGAGCTGGACTTCAGAAAAATATATGAAGTTATGATGAAGCCTGCGTACATATTCGATGGACGCAAACTGCTCGACCATGAGACGTTGTTGAACATCGGTTTCCACGTGCAGACGATTGGGAAGAAGTTGTGCAGGACAAGCAGCATCAGAGCTCAAGGCAGTCAGACGTTGCCGTAGGATAATCAATTAGTGTAAGTACAATTTTTATACCATTCTTGTTCCTGTAATGCTATTTTAGAGATTGCATAAGCTTTTCTATGGACATTCAAAGTATTGTGATATGGTATGTTTTATTAATTTACAACACAATTCAAAGGTTAAATGGCAACTCAATAAAATTAATTGATTTATATTTATTCATTGAATTGAGAAAAGTTTACAGAAATATAGGTGTCTATATTTCTGATAAGTTATCTAATTACAAGGAAGCATGGCATAGTATCACAGCCCGATATTGTTATCTAAAGTTGCATCCTATTTCAATATGACACAAATGTCAAAAAAAAAATTGTATAGAAATTTGAAGTGCACCATAACGGATATACAGTATAATTTCACTAGGCACTATTAAAAACCGGAGGATTATTGGAATGTTCGGATTACTGGATTATAGTGAAAGAGTTGTAGGTAACGAATAAAATAAAGCATTTCATAGATGGAAAAAATGTATGTAATGTATTAATTTAACAAGTACATACATAAGGAATTACAGAGTTTTAAAATAATCCTTTATTTTTGTGGTCTGCTTTTGTGCAACTTGTTCCATGCTTAAAAACCTTTTCTCGCATGTTGCGAAGAATTATAATTTCTTTGGCAGTCATGCCATTTTCTTCTGCCCATGCTATGCAGGTATTGAAACAAATCGAATGCTTTTATGGGCAAGTTGGATCTTTTCATAAACTTCTTGACTTCTGGGACAAAGTCATTATGAAACCATACGCTGAATACTTCTCTTGTGACCCAACTTCTAATTTGATTCTTGTAGCAGACTGGCAGACAAATGTTCTTGAAAGCTCTGGGATTTTTTGCTTTACCAATCATTAACAAATCCAAGCGCACAGGTGTAGCGGGGCGAGGGAGGCATGGGCAAAGGATGCCGGATTATTGGACGTGCCGATCTATCGAAGTGGGCGGATTAGTGAGATTATACTGTTATGAGAATTAAAAATTGTGATAATACAAAACTTCTTGACATTCGATGCTTATTCAGAGCAAATTCAACTATTTGAATTCTATATTATAATAGACAGTTATATATCTGTCTTAATGTTCAACTGTTTGCCTTGAATTGTGATGGGATAAAGATTTCCTTATCCACATTCAAGGTGGCTTTTCTTGATTGGGCTGTCTGGGGGCCAATCGCCTAACGGAAATTCTTTAGAAAACGCTAACGCTTACGATTTTATTGTGTTATTTCTAGCCGCCTGAGGTATTCAAATGCCTCGCGCTCTTTCTTTTTCTTATGCATTGGTAATAACAATATTAAAAAAAATGAGCGTGAGGTATTCGAAAATCTCAGGCGGCTAGAAATAACAATATAAAATCGTAAGCGTTAGCGTTTCCCAAAGCATTTCCGTTAGGCGATTGGCCCCCTGGCCTGTGAGAACCTTTGAGATTAGAACAATGTTGACTGTATGTGTCATGTACACAAACCAAAAATATTATCAGAAAGTAAATCAATGTTCAGTGCACAACGGCTCAACTCAGTAAGTACAGCTTCTTTTTCCCAACACAAAGTGTACGAGATTTCTATTTACCTCGTATCAATGTATAGATACTGCTAAATCTAGAAGGTCAGAGTTCTAATACGTTTTGCAACTCTGCGCGGCGCGGCCTCGCCGGTATAACACAAATCGTGGGACAGCGCCTTAACATATCCACTCCTCGAGACAGATACCTCAAAGTCGTATGGTCTCAGTTATGGGTGAAAACTAGTATTATATAAAACAATGTTGTATGTCTGTTCGCATGATCGCGACGCCCTTAAAAATTACTAAACGCATAGCTGTGTGAACCTAGCACCCGACTTTGGAAAATCATTTTTTTTCTTAACGATTCTTGTAGACTTTCGTATGTAGTTGATTGTATTAAAATTATTTCGTTTGTAGTTGCTTCGTCGAAAAATCGTTAGCACCCCGATTCGGCCAAACTCAAATTTTTTGATTGATTCTTATCGAGAATCGTTTGAATCAATCAAAAAATTTGAGTTTGGCCGAATCGGGGTGCTAACGATTTTTCGAAGTCTCATAACTTTTTTTTGAAGCAACTACAAACGAAATAATTTTAATACAATCAACTACATACGAAAGTCTACAAGAATCGTTAAGAAAAAATTTGATTCTCAAAAGTCGGGTGCTAGGTTCACACAGCTTAAACGCATTTTTAAGCGGTTTTCACTATCATTTAGTTAGATCGTTTTCCGGCCGATCCAGCCGATCTCTCACTCTCACAAATATTCTAAAAAATCGTTAAAACTTATTGCTTTTCTTATTATTATCATTATTGACACAATAAAGTTTCATTGAAAACAATAAAGAATAAATGTTTTAGTTAGTACATTTTGAAATACATTAACGTCTTATTACAAAGTGTAACATTACCATGTATAAACCTAAATGTAAAGAAAATTTTACTAGAAAAAATTGCACGTGGACCAGGCAGCAGACGGGATTGGAACCCGCACCCTTCGCTATCCAGGCGGATGCACTGACCATTATGCTACCTTACTTTCATCCCGTGAATCTCAGTCTCGAAGAAATTTTGATCATTTGGAGACTCGAGACGTACAGTACAAAGTACCGAGAATAACGAGACTTACGAGACTATCGAGAGAATAACTATAACTTACCACTGGTATTGCAAACGTTTATATGTTGTGGTGGTCGCTTACCATTTGACGAGTCATAGCTTATTTAAATAAAACAAATGTCAACGGGTTAGATGCACTGATTTTATTTATTTATTGACTTTTCGCATTACTACATAATGCATTATTCCGACAACGATTCCTGCATGATGCATCCGTGCTTCGGAACGTACGTTAAGACGTTGGTCCCGGCTTCATCTGCAGTCGTTAGCACCCGCCAATCCGCACTGGGCCCGCGTGGTGGGTCACGGCCCAATCTCCCTATTCCATCCATAGGGAAGGCCTGTGCCCCCACAGTGTCAGTGAAAACCTAAAATACAAACATAACTTATTTAACAGACAATAAAGTTTTCAAAATTTTTCAATAAAACATCCGAACGCTCAATAAAAGTCTTTCGAAGGTAGCTCGACAAAGTAAATAAAAAATCATTATTCTGACAATGCAGACCTGAAAAGGCTGCGAAACGTCAATAAATAAATAAAGTTTCGTGCATTAACCCGTTAAAACTAGTTTTATGAGTGACTAGTGGCCCGCCCTCGCTTCGCTTCGGTGTAGAGCTGAAGTGTAGACTACAGTTTTTGTTCTCGGGCTTGTATTATACACAATGACATTCATCTATGATTCTTCTTATATCTGCATGCAAAGTCTCATCCCGATCGGTTTAAAAATGACAAAGTTTCATACAAACTTTCATTCCCTATTTTATCCCCTTGGGGGGAGACTTCATCAAAATCCTTTCTTAGCGGATGCCTACGTCATAACATCTACCTGCATGCCAAATTTCAGCCCGATCCGTCCAGTGGTTTGGGCTGGGCGTTGATAGATCACTATGTCAGTCAGTCACCTTTGAGTTTTATATATATAGATGAATACGATAGAGGTCATTGTAAAATTCTCATACATTATTTATAAATGTAATTATGGCCTGCACGCATTTGTAGTGTAGCCATCAATAGTACTGCCGGATGTTATAAAATGTTGTTTTAAATGTAACTAATCACCGCTCAAAGCTTTTGTATCAATGGGAGTTATTTATAAAACCGGCCAAGAATGATATGGAGGAGGAGTGCCAATAGAATTGTAAGGCTCACTCGTTTGTTTTTACTATTCGCACTGTAAAGTTAGCAGTTGTTGCATTCTATGTTCGTTTTTAACTCCCAGTCCAGCGTTGTTAGCCATGATTACCAATTAGATAGCTGATATTAAACGTTACAACACCTCTTTGTAATTGCAACACCATTTTCGTAATATAGGTGGTACATTGCGTTTTATTAAAATTACCAATTTTTCCACACCATAATTGTCTCTGTCTGTCTGTCTGTCAGCAATAAAGCTGAAGCAACCGACGCTTTAATATTTTTTCAACATCAAATCAACTACATACGAAAGTCTACAAGAATCGTTAGAAAAAATTTGATTTTCAATAGTCGGGTGCTAGGTTCACACAGCTTAAACGCATTTTTAAGCGGTTTTCACTATCATTTAGTTAGATCGTTTTGTAGATGTTTGCAATTACCATCGCCACGCCATTCAACAGCAGATCTCAACAATTACCAAACAGATACCAATTTTTCCACACCATAATTGTCTCTGTCTGTCTGTCTGTCAGCAATAAAGCTGAAGCAACCGACGCTTTAATATTTTTTCTTATATAAGCACTATTTTATCACTTAAACGTTTATTTTTTAACGTTTTAAATTATCTGGTTGCGTATTCAAAATCGTAAGCTACGAGGGGAGGTCAAAAAGTTCGCGGAATAAGAGGGAAGGAGGTTGAAATTAAACACAAAACTATTTTTCCTTTTCAATATGTTCTCCCTTAACCCTAGTACATTTTTCAGATCTCTCAAATAACTTGTTTATACCATCGAAAAAAGAAATGTCTTTGGTGTCAAAATAGGCCGAAATTGCGGACTTCACTTCTTCATCGTCGTCAATTTTTTTTCCACATAGCTTTTTATTCATTTTTGGAAATAAATAATAGTCACTGGGTGCCTAGTCTGAACTGTAGGGCGGGTGGTTCAATTCGAAGCCGCATCGGTGAATGGCAGCCGTCGCAACATGGCACGCGTGAACGGGTGCATTGTCGTGCAGAAGGAGCACACCTTTTGAAGCTTTCCTCTTCTTTTTTCCTTGATGGCTTCTTTCAATCCTTCCAGTAAAGAAGCGTAGTACTGTCCCGTTATAGTCACACCAAGTTATTTATAATCGATCAGTAAAATACATTCTGTATCCCAAAAGGCAGTCGCCATGATCTTGCCAGTCGATTGTGTCACCTTGAACTTCTTTGGAGGAGGTGTGCCTTTTTTATGCCACTGCATCGAC